GAACCTAGAGATCCGGCGTTGTTCTCCCCCGACGATCCCAATCCGTCGCTGCCCTCCCTCGTCGGACGTCATAGATGAGATATCGCCTCCTCCTCGTCTTAGGCGACGAGGCCTCGACGACGTCACCCATCGCCCTTTTTTGCGCGAGGAGAAGGAAACCTCAGTTTCTTCTCCCCACACAAGCAAAAAAAAGGAGGCGACATCGCCTTTTTCTTGGGTACACCCACACACACACCAAGCGGTACACCCTGGTGTACTGCTCAGTACTCTGTATCGTACCGTACTGAGCTACGCTCGAAACTCTGGTACAGTACAAAATTATGATTCTTGGGTAGTATTGCTTAGTTTGCATACAATATGACTTTATTTTACAAACTTTGATTAAGATTGTGTAATGGAGGAAATTCAGTGCACAAAACAATTTAAATTTAATGATTCCCTTAAACATGTTACTGTTATACCTTTCCATTTCTGATCAAATTTAAAGCTTGGACATTTTAGTTCAAATTTTGATAAGATTTTCCATGTGTTCTTTACTTTATAGCTTGTGTAAATTAAGCTCACAAAGATAACAGAAGTCTTTGCAACCTTCAAATTTTTATATTTTCTTAAACTAGTTAGTGTTCTTCTAAGTTGGTTGAAACTGAATCACATGTGCTTAGCAATGTGAGTAACTGAAGCTGATTCAAGTTTGCTTAAAAATCCGGACATATGCCATTTGCTTTGAATTTGTTTCATCTGACATTTTTAGGCCTGCAGAAGCTTCAAAATTTGCTCAGAAATATGTTGATATATGAGAAACTTAATTTAAAGTCTGTGTTAGTAACCTGATACTGAAATCGAGGATGATCAAATTGTTGAAGCGTTGTTGTGAACTCGAGATAATGGCTGATATGAAATCGTTTCAAGAATTCCTATAACAGTTAAGAGAACTTACCTTGAAGACGATGTTTCTTTTGTTTTTGGCATAGAAATGGTCGGTAACCTGATCAAATAAATAAAGCAGCAAGTTGATCATTTATAGATTCTACATATACATAGTTTGCCCCCTACGTCTTCCCACTTGTTCATATGGTTGAATTGATTTCGATGCTGCATGTTTCTTTATTGTAATGCCTATAACGTTCAACAAATTATACGGAACTGTACTCTTCACCATAATGCCTATAACATGCAACCTGTGTGACAAAAGTTTGTAGGATTTAATAGTTGGATCTTGGTGCTAGTCAAAGGGGAGATATAAATTGGAGAAATATTTTTCAAAGCCATAAAGTCTAAAAAGACACCTAGATGATCTGTCTCATTCCCATCATGTGTTTTACGACTTCCCATTATAATCATGGTACCATGATTTTCGTTTGCAGTTAGTGAGCTTATTGATAGCTTTGAGTTGAGATTATGTAGTGCATTGTTTCAGATGTTATGAAAAACTGATTGTCCCCATTGATACCAAAATATTAATTTTTTTTAGTATTTTTATTGTTGTACCAAGGCATATCATACCATATGGGTCAAAATGTTTTGGTTCATAAAGATATTGATGAAGATACTTGTGTTTATAACCTTTGTTTCACACATTATTAAAGTTGTTATGTGAGCCATGACAGAAATTCCAACCCTGTAGCTCGGCTCGTCATGGCCTCTGACCCAGTTTTATGAGCCTATGCTGGAGGGTTTTAGGGTTTTCTGTGGCAGAGCCTTTTTCATGCTCAAGTTAGAATGAGTGCTTGAGGGTTTTAGGGTTTTCTGTGGCAGAGCCTTTTTCGTGCTTAAGTTAGAATGAGTTGAACGTAGAAATCATACCTCCAGAACTTACGAGTCTCTGCCCATAGTTGCAGCTAGGTCGACTGACAGTTAGATATCCATTCTTTGAGGTAGATATCATCTAATATCTGGTCGCGTGAACTAAAGCTCACTTGTGATGCAAGGATGGGCACTAGTGAGCTAGTATATTAGAACCCATGGTGACAGGCATAACTCATACAATAAATGTCTTTCTGCTATGTCCACTATTTAAAAAATCAAAGTTATTTAATTGATCAAGATTTAATAGTCATATAAAGGTTCATATAATTGTACATTTCAGTAAATAATTTTCAGTCCATAGTTCACAAGTTTTGCATCTGATATGAGGATCAGCTAGAGGCAATCAACAGTATTTGTTTGAATCAGATTGGCAAGATTGGGAATTAACAACACATTAGAAAATTATAAAACAATGAGAAAATAAAATTATTAAATGCCAGAAGATCCTTGTAGCTTAATATTTCTTAAAATTTTCAACTTTATAGAAGCCAATTGGAAACATATTGAAGATTAGGTGTGACATATTTATTGCAAAATAAATAAATAACTCTGTATCATAAAAAAAAGATTTTACGGTTGCAAATAATATTATTTATTTTATGTCAAAAATTTTATTCGATCCTTGAGTTACTTTTATGATTTACTTGTTGCAGGCTGAACCGAAGAGGCGGAAGAGGTAACTGGTAATCATGTAGATTTGGCTGAGGATGTATTCATTTTATGAAAGGATAACTGTCGTTTTGTGGGTGCCATGAAATTGTACAGTGCAGGTAAATGGACTGCTTAAAAGACCATGTCATGTTTTTGAACATATGTAGTTCAAGGTGGTAATATTTGTACTAAGAAATTAAATTCGAGTGTTCTCCCCCTTTTTGATTGGATCTATACTATGTTTTACCTAACTTAATTAAGAGAACATCTCATGAATTATATGATTCATTCAAGGCCAACCCTTAATACTAAGATACGGTTGAAATGCCAGTAAAGTTCTTGCAGCTGTACCTACTGGAAATCTGACTTGCTGCGACCGATGCTCTTGTTGAATTGACTGACAAAATTTGATGCTTTCGTTACCTCCAATCTCTGTAAGATGAATGTTCGTTTACAGTGACATGTATAACTGTGATCGTGCTGCGTGCTTAGCTTACAGATGGTGATAAATGGATTAGTTTACAGTTTGTTAAGAGGGAGTATTTTTCACTATACCATTATGTCTTGCATACAATGTGTTAAAAGTAGATGTATGAAATGAAGGCATGCTTATTAATAATACATTCACAATGATTACTGAGTGCAATTGTGACATTTAGTTTGAGGGAGGGAATGGATTTTGGCCTCCGTGCCTAAACAGCACGCAGTATGCGTCAGCGTTAGCCATGTCACGTTCATGCACTCAGAAGGCGGCCGACGTGGCTTGTTCTTATGCTCCCTTACTGCATGCATGCATGCATGCATGCACGAATGAGTTTGGGGAATCTCCAAATCGCTGGCCTGCCTAACTAAATGCTAGCTGGAGTAGCAATTGCTGTCACAGCAACGTGAGTTGTTGTTCCTCAATCATCCACATTTGGTGGGTGGTCGGATTCCGAGTCCCCTACTCGGAGAACTCGAGAAAATAATATATGCCCGATTGTCACCACATTGTGAGGTGGACTGTTCTAGTAATGTCTCAAGACTCAAATTATGCGTTCTTGGTATGTTAAGACCAATGTTTCTTTCTTGCTCATGAAATTTCATGAAAATATAAATCCCTTTTCTTTTTTTTTTTTGCTGCCATGATAGATCCAAAAGATGGATAGAAATGGATGTAAAAATTGGTCTTCGATGATCAAATATTACATTCTGGAGATCTCAAAATTTGAATCTGCAAGATGATGAAACAAGAAAAATTAACATATTATATATATCCATGAATTAATCGTTCACAAACGATTCAGATCAGGTAGACTCAATTTCGTCATATTTATGTCCAAATCCATGTAATTATGCAGAGACTTGAACCTTTCTCACCACCTAATTAGCAAACCATCAGAATCCTAACTATGGACATCCTATTTCGGCTCAAGTGGGTTAGGTGACGAAAGGTGATAGATACACTGTCGTCCTAATCCAAGCTATGAAGAATACATGGCAAGTAGAGTTATATAGAACAAAAAGGATTCCTCCACTGCATGGGGTGGGGCAGCTGGAATCATTCAAGCAATGATATGAGATGATCAGGGAGAAGATAGAGAGGGCGTCAACCCCTCCCTCGCTTAGTGGGTTGGTTGTCTTAAGCCACTTCCTAACCATTGTGTACATTTATATATATACATACATACCACCAACTGAAACCATGCAATCATGCACTCACCAACCGTACGCATATGATATGAGAAAAGAAAGAACCTTTCCATGTGGAGAGAGGCGTTCTTCTTCTACCTTTCCTAAACCCCGCTTTGGAAGGAGTGGAGGAAGAGCCTTACATTTGTGCATCGGAAGAGGAGGACGTGACGAGAAGAATCGTAGTGGTGGATTCCTGGTCCATCCCGTTAGGCGACACTACCGACTCTCTTCCCTCTCTTCGTGCTGGTGGATTGAACTTTGGAGAGGAGAAAGAGAGAGCACAGTCGGAATGACCCAATCGACGTCCGATTCGTTCGATACATGTTGTTCGTCTTTGCGGGTAGAGTATTATAATATTATAACAAGAAGCTTTGGCCACATCATATTTACAATTCGTGGAACACGGAATTCATCTTCTTTTGTGTTGTTAGAAGGTCTCTCGAGCCATCGATGCAAATGGAGAATTGCGAGAGCTTGTGGAGTACGTGTGGACTAATAGTGAGTTTGATTAGCATATGTATCTTTGTTAATTTTATTGTGACTATATCAATCACTAGTGTTGCAGTCATATCATGGTTATCTAACACTTGGTAGGGTTCAAATCCACACACACACAAAAACCTTCAATCTTCCATATCAATCTTCAAGATAGCACCTGTGGTGGCTCCATTGAAGTCCAATGTGACAAGAGGAGAAGGCACAAACATATGGCTCTGCCCAATCATTTACTTTGGACCGTCTTCTTTGGAACATATCACATGCATCTGCCGCTGCCGAAAGCTCAAACATAAGAACAACTCCACTATTCCTTCTATCGATCAACATATGTTCAAACAAAAGCAATAAGCTTTTTTTATTTGATTTTCCTATTTATAATTATCATTAGAAAAGAGTTACAAACATATAATACTATTTATTCTCTTTGATTGCTTGGAGTTTTATTTCTGATGCATCTTTTTCCTAAAGGATCAAACCTCGTGCTATGGCCCGATTTTTGTTAAGGTTGGTGGTCTCGTACAAGGGGAGCTCATCCCTGCACCTTCCTCCCCCTCTCCCTTCCCCCATCACCTCCGTTAGATTCTCCAGCTCGAACAGATCCGAGCTTGACTCGCTCCCCCCGGCGTCGTCGTCCTCCTCCCGTCCCAGCCTTAGCAGCTCCTTCACCCTCGCCGCTGCATTGGCGGCACCGTCCTGGAGGCGCTTGTGGCCGCAGGGCCGCGAGTAGTCCTCGTCGACGATGACGTTCGCCGGATAGAACCGCACCGTCCTCTTCCCCTTCTCCGCTCCCGCAGCCTGCCGCCGTGACGCTTCCGACGCCTTGCTCAGGCACGTACCCATGCAGCTCGAAGCCGAGGTGGATGTCGTCGTCGACTCCTCCGTTCGGGCCCCATCTTTGGCCGCCGCGGCGGAGGGGACGGTGATCTTAGGCTTCCTGGAGCTCCCGGCGGCGGAAAAGAGCGCGATTATAAATCTCACCAGCCGCGCCCGCGGCGACGTCGCTACAGCTGCGTCCGACGCCGTCCGGGGCTTTCTCAGGCCCCGGAGCCCGCTACGGAGGTTGCTGCACTTGGGCTTCGCTTTCTTCTTCGTGGCAGGGGAATCGAGCCGAGGAATGCGGTCCGACTGGTTGGACTCACCGTCTGACGATGAGAACAATCCTGTGGCGTTGATTCTAGGGGTGATGGACGAGGAGGAGGAGGAGGAGGAGCTGGAAGTCGGAGCGAATGTGCCGACGCCACAAGGGCTGCGGCGGTAGTAGTCGGTGACGCCGGCACGGCTCACCGCCAGCTCGCTCACTACGGGTGCTCTGCTCCCGTTTCGGGAGTGCGTCACCGGTTCCACTTGCTTCCTGTGGGAAAAGGAGCGGTCGGGTACTCCGCCCCTCGTCTCTCCGCTTTTGCTGTTATCCACGTCGTCGTCTTCGATGGAGCGGTAGATGGCGTCAAGGAGAGAAGAGGAGAACGACGCGTTCTTTGATCGGCTGCGACGGTGCGGAGGTCTCTCCCACCCCTCCATCATCCCTCTCTCTTCTCGTTCTCCCGTGTCTCCTCGACGTGGCTCTGCTCAATCATCCTTTATAGGACCAGGAGATGCTTCGATTTGGTCCCATCACCTTCGGTAAAGTGTAACTTATAATCTCAATGCAATAATGTCACTTGGACGGAGGATAATACCTCAACCATACAGTTTCGGACACCTATCATCTCACCGGAGGGTGATGATAAAGTCGTAATACGTCTTAAATGTCATCCAAATCGATTATATAAATGGAGGAGTGACCAAATGAAATTATAGTACGAGACAGCACATGAGAAACGCGTCGAAACATTAAAGTGATATATAACACGAAAGTAAAGAAAGTGATTAAGGACATGATTGAGCAATATGTTTTTTTATTTGGTTTAAATAATAAGAAGGAAGAATAAACTTTATTAATTCTAAATTGGGATATAACCTATGACTCTATTTATAAGGTGAGAGAGAATTTAACCAATCTTATTAATAAAAATTTAAGGGATGCTAAATCCCTCATTTGATAAGAATAAATAGAAATATATGATAATTATTATATCAAGAAATATATGAGTTTGGAAACTATAGAAACAAATTAATATTCTACTGTTATAGATTAGATTCCTCTTTCACCACCGTATATCGTCATCAAAGTTCTTCTCCTTACTCATATCTTTTTTACTCAAATGCCTTCTACCCAAGCCCACGGTATTTCTCACTCTGACTCAATGATGGACTTTCTCATATGTCCCCCTTAAAGTGGCGACAGGCTTCATAAGCTTCGTAAGGCTCTCTTCAAGCATGTTATCATTGAATGTCTTATCCCTCATGCTTATAGTTGTTAGTGTAAACAACCTTAAGCCGTGGTCTTGGGATCGACGCGGCTTGATTCGGGTCCGGATGACGAGGATCTCCCTGGGACGTGCCTCGAGACTGCTGAGGTGGCCGATCCCGGTGTTCCGATTGGGATGGGGTCGCTATCCTCTCTGAGCAAGAACTCCTCACCTGCGCGTCCTGTGGGGACCTTCGGCTTCGCACCTGCACAAAGGTCGGGTCGGGAGAGCTTGGCCCGACCCCTCCGATGATCAAGTTAGTGAATAGTTGTAGGGAGTTTGTTATCTATGTTGGTGTCCTCCTCCCTCCCCTTCCCGTTTAGAATGCGATGATATTTATAGAGAAGCTTACTATTTCCTGATGTGCCCGCTTGCAAGGGGCAGGCTCGTACTCCTGGTAGCGTTTGACACTGGTGTTGGCGTGGCGTGTAGGACCGAGCCTGAGCAGGATGTTTAATGTGCCTCGGTCGACGTTCCGATTCGTTTGACTAGGTGGTGTCAGGTCCACCGAGACGTCATCTGGGACAGCTGACGTCAACCCAAGTCTTATCGCCATTATTACCCTCATCAATAGTCTTTGTCACTCTGACGAGCAATCTTTCTCACTCGGTTTTCTTCCTCATGATAATTGAATCCTCTACCTTAACTATTCTCAGTCTTATCGCCATGATCACACTATTCTTAACTATAAATCTAATCAGAACAATAAAACACCACAACGAAACGTGTCAAAATATTAAAATGATATATAATACGAAAGTAAAGATATTGACGAAGGACATCAGTGAACAATATTTTTTATTTATATTCCCTATTTTTTATTTATATTTTGATGATAGCTTAAGAAACATGGAAAAAAAAATGTTAAGAGCCGTGTGAAACGTACTCAATCATCATTTTTGTTAAGCTTAAACAAGTAATTAAAAAATATAAGGTGCATATAAGGGAAAAATTAGACACTAATACGGATTGAGATAACTTTAGGGTATAAGTTAAGGGTGTTCTTAACCATAAGTTGTAGGATGTGATGTAAGAATCATTTTCGATAATAATGTTATTTGGGATAATTGTTAGGTTTGTGGTCAACTTAAATGCATACGATTTGGAAAGACGATTTAATGAACATATTTTTAATGATATATAGTACTTTTTATTAAGCAAATGAAATATATAAATATAAACAATGTCTTCAAATGAAAAATATAAATAATATAATAAGAATTTAAGATATCTATTTGACATATATATATATATATATTGGAATACAAGCAATTGTTGCAATGAAAATTCTTAACTATTTTTAATTGATTGGTGACATTTCAATTTAAGTTCGACATAAATGTCTTAGACAAATGGTTTAAGTTTAAAAATACCGACGAGGAGATACTATTGAACCATATCGCACATCATATTAACATTTAATCTGAGCTATATTAGTAAGTGACAATGATGATAAATCCTCTAGTGAAGAAGATTATGACACTTTTGTTTATTTCGATAATATCGAAAGCAGCTTAAAATTTAGATTGATAGTGATCTTAAGGATTATAATTTCACTGATTATGATTATTTGAATTTTATCTTTGATTTGGGTGACAAAAGCTCCATGCCTATCTCAAAGGACGTCTTTCTTAGGCCAACTCAATTCAGACGATTCCATAAGCTATTCTGATCCAAATTTAGCTACAAAACACTTCAAATGGGCCTAATTAGTACGAGTGGTCTTCTTAGGCAAAAAGGGACTTCGCCAACTTCTCTTTGATGTCCAATTTCTATTTAGATTAGGAACTTTAATTTTAGATATATATATATATATATATATATATATATATATATATATATATATAAATATAATTCCAAGAGGTCATCCTGTAAAGTTTTCTGTGGTTTTGTTAAGTCTAAAATTAAGGAACAAAATACCTAATATCACACATTTTGAGATTACAAAATATAGATAAATGTCTTGTAAGATCAACATAAATAAATATCTAACTTTTTTTTTCTTTTATCTGAGAGTGGAATCTTCAATCATGTGGCCTTTAGGATCATATGGAACTTTGATGTCTTCTTGCTCTTTGGGAGGTTCTAATTCTTCAATTTTTTATTTATTTTAGCATAAATCAAAAGGATCAAATGGAAGAGACTTCATTGAAGCCATGGGAAGAACTTGTTTAGCACATTGTGAAGGCTTGATGGCTCGTTGATTTCCTTATATATTCTAGTTTGATGTGGGATCTTTGTCATCATACACATCATCACATCTTTCAAATATTCAGCTTGAAATTAGATTTTTTTTTTTTTGTGGTTGAAGGATTTTTTTTTTTGGTTTGCTCAATCAATCTTCATGATAATGACATATGATTGAGCCTAAATTTGATATGCTGATTTTGTCCAACTAAGCATTCATGGGAATAATCTTTTTTAAATTCAAAAATTCTTATTAAACTACCAAATGTTGATGAACAGAGGTTGCAATTTGGAAATCTAATTTTACAAGGCACTTAATAAAGGGAAGAAAAAAATTATCCTCCAAGAAAAAGAATATATATAAAAGAAAGATATGACAAAGAGAAATAAAAATAGAGGAATACTAGAAAATTAATTTGGGAGCATCTTTGACCTCTTGATCAGTTTTTGACTCATCCCATCGATATCATCTTTTGATCTTTTCCATGGAAACGAGATATATCTTTCTCAAGCAAACTCATCTGTTCAAGTTTAGATGATGTAATAATGCTAGTAATAGTTTTCTAAATAAATGCTCGACAATCAAAGTTGATGATACATACTATGGATGTCAATAATTTCTAATAAGATTGATTTAGTTTGATCTCGTACGCATAGAAAGAAAGTCTTAAAATGTTAGAAAGAAAAGGCTCAAATACTTGATCGATCTTAATTATTATAATACCTTTTTATAATAGTGTGTTTAACTCCATAAAATATTTTACGATACATCTAAGTAAAATATATTTTTTAATATAAATTTTATATTTGGTCTATTTTATTCTTGTTGAGTATGCCATCATGCATTGAATCAAGATTAAAATAAATATATTTTTTCCTATCAAAAAAATAATATTTTAATTCGGATCCATCATGATTGATTGGTTGTTGGATACAATATGATGAGAAAGCCGTAAACTCGACACAACGAGAATGCATGAGTACGACGACACGTCGATGCACACATATGTCCACAACTTTGGGTGGAAGGAGGAAGAGAGTATGGTATGATGTCGATCTATCTCTTTTCTTTGTGACCGGAAATGGTGTGGATTATGACTCGAGACTTCTTTCTCGAAAGCTCCGTATGACCGACCATATTTAAACTAGAAAGGAAAGGAAAAAGTTAGATTTGACGTCGAACAACATGAGGGTTGAGTGTGGCGTTAAAGACTTACTCGACTCACACGTTTCTTCCTTGTTTTACATAATAATATATCCAAATAGTTAATGTTTATTTGAAGAAATAATAATAATTTTATTATTCAGCTTATTCTTATCTCACTGACAAATTATGCCATAAAACGTTTAATTGTCCATTGATATGGGTTGATGGATTAATATCTTTGTAACAAAAAAAAAATATTAAGATTGATATTTTGATTCCCAAATAAATAAACATTCTTAGATTCATAATTATGCTTTTAATTCTCTTGGACCTTATTAATCATCTATGATTCTCTATCACATCATGTTCTCTATCACACAATAAAAGTTTTATTAACGCTATTAGAGAGAGATAGCACCATCGTATTACTTATTTTCAATCTAAATTTAAGCTTGATTTTGATTGGACATGCTCCCGTCGTAATTTTGTAGGTCCCAATTGGGTGATTTCGATGTTTCACCCAAGAAAGATAATGATTGGATCCTCATCATCCTCTAAGTCGGACAATCAAAACTTATCGTGTCAAATTGTGTTTCTAAAAATCAATATACTTGTCAATCATCCATCATAGTTGATGTTATATGATTTTATCTTTTCGAATAGATCTTAAAAAATATTTATGAGGATAAAGATAGACCTTAAAGGTCTATCTTTTCGGATAGACATTAATTGCTTCCTTCTTCCATCATTGAACTTATTAGCATAATCCAACTATAGTATTGGTGTTCGATCTCTCTTTTTCTTTGACTTTTTCTCTTTAAAAAAATAAAATACTTGATAATAACCAATCATCCAATCAAAAAGTTAGATATTATTTGTCCTCTATGG